TAATCTATAAACTTTTAAATTTATTATATTATTTATTATATTATATTTTATTATCCCTTAAACAGTAAGCAATTGCAAATAAATTTGCCTGCAATTTTACTGAAAATTCAATTTTCATTTAATTTTATGAAAAATAAAGTTATTTTAATAAAAAATTCTTTTCATAATAGTTTAAATTATATATTATACAGCAAATATTATGCATTTTTAATACAAAATTTAAAAATTTTTGTACTTTAACTTTGATAATTTCATTAATAATTAGTTGTAGCTATAATTAGATGCTAAAACATTTCAACATATAGCAATTGCCAAAACTATTGCCAAAATCCCAAACTATTAAACCATTACTAAATCTAGATTTAGGTTAAATTTTCAGTAAAATTAGGATTTTGGAAATGGCTTAGAATATTAGCAATGGATTTAGGTTTTAGATTTGGCAATTATATAAATTAAAAGCTGAACTATTTTCAGTATATGGTCAATAAGTTTCAGCAAATGAAGAGTTTTGGTATCCAACTATAGTTGCAGCTATATTAAAGTTTAATAAAATATGTAGAATTTATTATAAAAAACAATTTTATTATTATAGTTTTTAATATTTAAAGTAGAATTTGATTTTATATAGAATTTTAATAAAATTTCTTTTATATTTGCATTATATAAAACTTAAAAAAATATTTTTTTTTATCTCTATTTTGTTTATTATAATGTAAAATTTCCATAAAAAAATAAAAGGTCATATTAAAATATTTCTAATAGTGAAAAAATATTGTAAGAAAATTTATATAAAAAACTAAATGCTATACTTTGCAAATTAATTTTCATTTAATTTTAATGATTAGCTATATATTTTGACCATTCAAATTTATTGACAGAATGTAGGTCAATTTGACTGCAAAATTATTAGATAATCTAATTTATATTAACAAACTTTATATTTGAAATTCTAATTAATACAACTTTTTTTATTATAATAATATTTATTTATTTTAATTAAATAATCTCTTTTTTAGATAATTTTATGCAGATGCGTTACAATGTACTACCTTTTTTTGGAAATTATTAAATAGTAAATTTGCTGATTATAATGTAATTATAAGTGATCAACAAATTTATTATTTAAAAATTTCCAACAAAGAGAGATGGTTCAAATACAGATGCATTCAAATTTTAAACTTTTTAAATATATTTTTACATTAAAAAGAATATATTTTAATATTTTAATATTTTTTTTTTTAGAAATATATTTTTTTAAATAAATAGATATAGTTTTTTCTTTAATTATATTTTTCTTTATTTTATTATTTACCATATACATACCATTCAAATTATTTTGGACTGCTATAATTATAAGTAAAATTCCAAATTCAATTATAACATCCCAAATTATTTTGGCATTTTACATAGTAAATTATATATAAACTAAATGAATTACGACATCTCAAATTATAATTATGACATTCCAAAATAATTTGGGTTATTGGGTAGCATATATAATTTACTATATTTGCCTGAAAATAAGCAACAAGTTTTTTACATATAATAACAACCAAGTTTTAATAATATGGGCCAAAATTTGTTATAATGTGAGTTATGTTACTTATTTTCAGTAATTGCTTATTTTTGGATAAATACAGTATTATTTTATTTTTTTTATTTTGTATTATTTTTTATATTTTGTTTTTAATATTTTTTTTTTTAGATTTTTAAATTGCATTTTTTTTAGAAAATTTCTTAATTTACACGGGATATTCATACACATATCACATAATTTTATTAAAAAGTTATGTAAAAAAATTTCTTAATAAATATAATTTTAAAAGAAACATGCAGTATGTGTATTTTTGTCTGTTTTGTAAGTTTATTTAAAGCGTCAAAGTTGATTTTGAATGCCAATTTTGATTATTTAACAAATTCTTTTTTTTTCCCTGTTTTCGTTAAATTTAATTCTGCCCAAAATTAAATGATCAGCATAGAAAATTTACTTTTTTGGAAACTCGTGTTTGAACACTTTATGTACAAATAGAAATTGCCTTTTTTTTATATTTATTTATTTACTTTTTATTTTTTAAAATATCTATTTGTTTTTTGGATCTTTTTTTATTTTTTTTTATTTCTTTATTTATACTTTTTATTTCTTTTTTGTTCTTTATTTATCTTTATTTTTTTTCTTTTTTTTTTATTTTTTTTATTTCTTTTTACTTTATTTTATTTTAATTCATTTTTTTATTAGTTTTTTATTATATAAAATACCATAATGTAATAAGTTTTATAGTTTTTAAGTATAGAATATAGGATATATGTATACTAAGAATAATACATTTATATACTAATACTTGTCAAGCTGAATTAGTTATTCAACAATACATATATAAGGTATTTTAATACAGTGTATTGCAAAAAAAACTAGAATTAAAAAATCAGTCATAATACCATGATAATTTCATTAAATTATATATAAAATAGTTTATTTGAAAGATAAAAACCCATAAATTTTATCAATAATAAATTAATATAAAATTTATTTTGATAATTTTCTATAATTAAGCTTATATTTTTTATTTAAAAATTTTTATAACTATTTTAAGGCAAATTTATATTTATTTTGCATAAAATACTTAATATTATTAAAAAAATATTTCTATTTGCAATTTTTCCATTTATTTTGATAAAATTTAAAAAATTTCTAGTGATAAATTTTATGTTAAATTTTTTTTAAAAATTAACATTTGTAGTTAATTTTCTTAAAAAATAAAAATGTACTAGAGTCTTAAATGATGTCAAAATGTAGTCTTAATATTTAAGTTTATTTTGCATTTTAAATGATAAAAATTGGGTTTGTTTTAAGTAAATTACACACATTTTTGTAATTTGAACTATTTATTAGCATTTTTTACTATATATCAAAATTGTGATAATTTAAAGAATAAAACTTTTATTATTTTATCATAAATGCTTCTTTATTGCAAATTTTTTGATATTTATTTTTTGGCATTATTCTTAATATATAATATTTGAATATTTTAAATTAAATCTAATCTACCATTGTTTTAATTTGAAATAAATAATTATTGTTGATTTTTTCAAAAGATAATGAAGTATTTATAACTTCAAAAAAATGAAAAAGTATTAAATTGTAGCCTCAAATTTCAGGTTTATTATACAATTTACATAATGTAAATTGAATTTATTTTGGATATATAATATGCATTTTTATCATATGAATAGTTTTCTGATTTTTTTTACAATACACTGTATATGATGAATAGTTCATTGGTTAATTATGTTAGACTTTTTCATATTTATATATTTGTAATTGAAAATGTTAGCTTTAATTATTTTAACTAATTACAACTCTATTACTACATATATTTTAATGGATTGCAACTTGTATTATAACTTTATAGCTAACATCTTTATTTGTAGTTTTTATTACATGAGCTTGTATATTATATTTTAGCAAATGTACTGTAGAATTAAAAAAAAATAGTTTTTCATTATTTTTTTAGTTTATTTTATTATTACTAGTTTCTTTATTTATCAGTATATTGTACTATTATGATTCTTTTTATTGTTACTGTTAGATTAAACCACTTAATATGAAAATAAAATAAAATTATTTATATCTTATTAATTGTAAATCATAAATACAAATACTGTAATTCTGTAAATAAATAAAAAAATATTTTATTTATATTTGAAATAATGTTAAAATAAAAGATAATATTTGAAAAAAAAATAAGCAAAAAAATGGTTGAAAAAGTTTTCTCATGATTTTACTAATTAACTTCATTTTCTTCACTAGATAAAGCAAAATTTTAATTTTTTAAAGTTTTATAAAAGTGTTCTTAAGAACCAGACAAATATGAACATGGTTATAATTGTTAAAAATAGTTACATTATATAAATTCAGTGTTACTTATAACTGAAATTTTCGATTTTGACAAAATTTAGGCCGGCATTATGAATTTGGTCGGAGTTAAGAAAATTTTGGCCAGAATTATGATTTGAAGATCGTTAATTTTAATCATTTGTACTAACTTTTGGCAATTTAAATTAACTAAACTAATTTTTAGACACTTTTGTTCATTTATATTATATAATGCTGTGTTAAAATTTGTAAAAATTTTATTTTTTAGATTTTAGTTTATTTAAGCTGAAAAAATTATATAGTAATAAATATATGAATTACATAATATGGTAAAAACACTTGAATTTTACGCATGGTGATCATTCATAAATTTTTAAATTTTACTTTAAATATAAATCTTAACTTATAATTATAAAATATATGAAATTAATTATATTGAAAATTTTTATAAATTTATATGATTTTTTTATATTATTTAAATATTTAGATATAATTTTTGCGTTAGCAGAAAATTATATAAAAAAATTTGTTAATATGAAACGGAACGGAACTTAATTTTAATATTTTTAAATATATGTGATAAATATTAATACCAAACACTAAATTTTTTAATATTTTATAGGGTTTGTTCCCAAAATTAATTAAAAGTTAATCTATATCGAGAATAGGCAACATATTGAAATATTTTTTTTTTTAGGACTTTGTTTTGAAATTTGTGGGGTTTTATTTGATTTAGATCCGTAGTAAATTAATACAAAACTCGTTGTAAAGTTGTACCGATTGCTTAGTTTATTTCTTAATGCATGTTGCACAGTGCGCTGCGCATTTGCATTGCATTATTGCATTTAAGTTAAATAAGTGGATTTTCATTGGCTGAACCAAGTTTGGCTGTTAGGGAATGTTTTGTATTACAAACAAAGGAAAATAAAATATTAATATTATGACGTCATTGATTTTTGAAGCATGTGAGTGGACAATGAAAAGATATTTGTTACAATTTTCCAAATTCAACAAAATTCACATCGGCTTCTTGGTCGAAACTCAACCAAAAGTTCACCAAAAAAAATAGGTTAACATCCCTCCCAAAGTAGACTTTCTTTAATTTCTACTACTTATTCGATTCATGATGGGCTCTGCTACCGCTTCTCCAGAGACAAGTCCAACAAGAGCTGACAAGGCGAGGTATTAGAACACACAAGTGTTTTTAGAGCTTGACTAAAATTTCCAGATGGCTAATTATTTATGTACGATAGAAAACCTGGAAGCGAGATTAATACTCCAAAAACAAAGCATAGTTCAACCGGTGAAGAGCAATCACTGGCTAGTGAGCATGCTGAGAACGCCAATAATGAAAAATTGGAGAACCAAGACACTGTCGTAAGAAAAGGACGTGGTAACTTCAAAGGACCTGGTAGTGAAAATCAGCCTGACCAACAACAACAAGCAACTCGTTCCCCGAGAGGTCGGGACTTCGATGCAACAAGTTTGAGACAATACCCACCCAAAACTGGAGGAGACAAAACACCAAATAAGGGTCATAATAGAAAAAAGTCAAAATCAGATAGTAGGCAAAACAGCAACGGAGTTCAAGGTTCTGAAAGCGGAGGATCTAGTAGCGATAACAATGTCTCTGATGATGTCACCAAGGTTACTGCTTCCTTAGAAAATATCACTATTGGTGAGAATAAGAATGAATCAAATCCCACCTCTCAATCTACAACAAATGACTCAACATCATCAGCTTCTCAAGGACAACAGATTGTTGAGGAGTGGGAAAAGCATGCAGATAGCGAGGTGAAAATCAAAAGTCCTGTCAGTCCTGTCAGTCCCGTCAGTTCCGTCGCTAGTCCTGCGGACGGCAATCCAAATCCATTTGATTGGTCTAATAGACAGAAGGAAGGTCCAAAAAATGAAAATAGAGGGGGCTTTAAAAAGGGACATAAGAAGAGTAAGAGTAGTAAAATTGAATTCAATTTTGATCCAGGTAAAAAAAATTATTATAAATTGTTGTTACTATTACTCATTTAAATATATACGTTATAACTATAATTAATTTCTTCCCATAGATGCGTACGAAGGCTCAACTCGTATTTTAGATATCTTTGATTTTCCCGCATCTTTTAAGACTCACCATCTCCACGAGATTTTTCAAGAATATGAGAACATGCGTGGAGGTTATCGCATCAAGTGGATGGATGATACTCGTGCTTTAATTATCTTTGAACATCCGGCTACGGGTAAATCAAATAACTTTTAATTATATCACTTGAGTAATTTATTTATTTATTGTTATTTTTTTTTTCTTTTTTTCTCTTTAGCACGGAAAGCGTATTTAGATAATGTTACCAATCAAACAGCACAAATTAAACCATATGATGGTCCCACAGATTTTCTTCAAAAAAGTTGGTTATTTATGTCATTATTAGCTTGATATTTAAATGCCTTTCATTGATTGTATCATTTCTTTAAAAAAATAAGATCCAAATAACGCACAACCTCGTGCACGTCCTGCTACCACTGATATGGTTGCTAAACGCCTCGTTCATGGAGCTCTAGGTGTACGTGTTGCTAGATCGCCTGAACAACGTCAAGCAGAAAATCAAATACTCCGGAATGCTAGGGGTAAGTAACCTTAAAAACTATAAATTTTTATATCGCATAATTCCTAAATTTACGGATATTTTATTTTTTTTTTGTAAAGATCAACGTGAACAAAAGCGTAATGAATATACTAAACGTTCTCAAGATTTGGATGCAGCCTTCAATGAATAACTTATATGACTGACTGCTTTTCAGTATTAATGTTCCATATATGTACTTTTACAAATATGTATTTCATAATTCAATTCCGTGTTTGAGAAGTTCCACTCGGTATTTCAAAATAAATGAGGGAGGGTATTTTGTTACACGGTGCAATCATTTATGTTTGTAATAACAGGATTTTTATTTCCATCGATAAATTTTACTTACCATCACCAAATTCTCATTTATTTAATATTATTTAAAGATACAGTAATGCATCATCACCTCCTTCATATATCCTTGTCTTTCCCTTTAACATTTCCCTTTTCTTTTTCTTTCTCTTCCCTTTCTTTTGCTCTCTGACTCTTCTTTGTATAATACATTTGACGATATCTTTCAAATCCTTCTTGAAATTTCCTTGGTACTTTTTTGTAAAAAACGATCTCACCACCACTTGCGTTGAAATGCATGTTAAATTGTCTTAATACGCGATTACATTGTGGTACAAATCTGTTGTAAATTTTTTGTAAATTTTTTGTAATATTAGATTACTGTTACAAGAAAAGGACATAAAATTGAAGAAAAAATTATAAAAAAAATACCTTGTAGCTACTCTAACTTTTTCCGCATAAATATTTTTCATAAAAAACATTAACAAAGTAGTAACAGCAATGAAGAGGAATAATTTACTGAAAAATTGAAAAGTTGGATTCTAAAATAGTAGTATTCGATATGGCCAAAAAAGTAAGGAATTTTCATTTTTTAGTAAACCAAAATATCTTCCTATTATACCGACTTTCATTGAATTAAACAAACACTATTTTCAATTATTTTCAAAAAAAAATAAACAAAATAAAAATACTAATAAAAAAAATCTTACTTTACTTTCGTAAAAAAAAACTGCGTATATTAAAATCGGAAGTAACAGACAATTAAGTCCTAAAAATGCTTAAAAATATTACAAGAGAATAAAATTTATTGATAAATTTTCGATATAAACATGTATGACATATATACCTTTATTTTTAAGGGAAAATAATAGAAACATTCACCTTCATATTTATAACTTCGTCTTTGTAATTGATGTAAATTTTGCTTGAGTCTCTCTTCGAATATCAGAAGATCCTTATATCTTTGATGATTATTGGGCGGTGTTGTGGAAGAATAATTGCTAAAACTTGTTGTGTCATTGAACGCAGGTGAAAGTGGAACTTTAGGATTATTCTCTGTAGGAAGTACAGGTGATTCGAAAGATGTAGAAGAAGATGGATTTATTTGAGCAAAGTTCCGTGATCTTGTATGCATTTCTTTATTTATAGTATAAGTTATGAAGTACCCGTTTAACGTTTTAAAAAGTCAGATATCAATAAACGAGTCACGTCCTTTTCATTATATTATTAAGTCTGACAAATAAAGTAATGGTCACACAACAAATTAAACAAATTGATTATTTTTCCGAACTTCCAGAACTTCCATCTTCCAATCGTGATCACGTTTCTTGAAGTTTTGGATAATCAAGAAGTCCTTTATTTTTCCTTATAATAGATTTACTAATAAAACACGAATAAATATTTATTTTTTTGTATAGAAAGAAAAAAGCATAAAAGCGAGTAATATATGTGATAATTAATACGATTTGCTTAATGAATAAGATATATTTAAACTATTTAATAATATGTTTACAAGTTTTTGCATGATAATTCTATTTAATTAATATCATTATTCTTCATCTTCCATTGGTGGTAAATCTGCGGGCTTTACAAGACCTGGGATTTTCAAAGCATTCTCCATTTCAGTTCTCTTTCGTTGTTCTGCTTCCGCTTCGCGTTCTTCAAGATATAAATCAGCATTGTCACCGGCAAATTCTTTTAGCTGGATTAGAAAATCACGCAAGTGTAGTTTAAATTTGGTATTGTCTTGATTGAGTTCAAAAAGCCCCATTACAAAGGATTGAACTTGGATACTGAATAAGAAGTTAAAATTAGTAATCTTAAAAATAATTTATCATTACTAACAGTTAATCAAAGTCTATTATTTAAACCTTTGTAAATGAGGAAAAGCATTGTGCAATATATTCATCACATATTCTCTCAAAAATCGTTGATTCGTCATGTTAGGATCTTGAACTTCAGCAGGGTTAAACAATGGAGATTGTACTGCACCGGTTTCCACAAGGTTGAACATTCGTTGAAGAACACTGCATTGCATTTTGAATCCTTTAATAAAAAAAAAAAAATTGTTACTATGATAAACGAAATTAAATAATAAATAATACGTATATATAAGCTTATCATACCGCTCTTGTGATCTGTATCTGCCAAAACGAACAATACATCTGCCACTAGAGTAAGGAAATACTGCTGATAGAACATGTTAGCAGTAGCTGGATCTTGCATACTTATATTATTTATCAATTCTAAACAAATATTAAGACCCGTATCAGCGATATCTCGCATTGTGTGTTTAAATGCCCAAACAATGCTATCCATTATCAGTTTAAATTGTGCTGACGGCAAAGTTAAAAGCGCTAAAACAAAATATTTATCGGTTATTATCAAAGTATCAAAGTACAAAAACGATTAATAGAAAAAACAAATACTTTTTAAAGTATTTTAAGTAATATACCTGGAAAGCAATGCTGGTTGATAGCTCGAAGCAATTTAAAGAAGCCAACACGATGTTCAGGATATTCTGAAAAATCTTTGTTTATCATATTCAAAGTGCATTCAAATACAGCATTAAGAATTGCTGGAACTTCATTCGTGATTCCGGGCTAAAATTTTACAAGATATTTTAGCAATAGAAGATAGTCTACAATTTTATAAAATTGTAATAGCACTCACCCCTAACTTTGCTATAATAGTCGCCATTGAACTTAAAACTTCAGCATCTCTTGCCTGTTCGACATTATTATTGTAGTCGATAAGGACCGCTGACAACAACGGTGGCATTAAATGTGTTATGATTTGGCTTGTTTCTTCAGATTTAGTTATATAAACTTCCATCAATTTTAAGGTCTCTTTTTTTATTACTCTCAAGTTACGGACACGAGGTGTTTTTGTTGCAATGAGACCTGTATTTTAATAGTAAGATCAATAAACGTTCATCGATTAATGAGAAAAATATTAATTAATTTTTACCTTCATTTGCCACGGTGTCGGATATAATTTGACTAACCGCTTTATACAATTCCAATAACGTCACATAAATTCTAGCTATCTGCACAGAAAAACCACTTCCGACAGCACTACATGCTGCTACATTTGTTCTGAGGACATGTCCAAGAATTTTTGTATTTTCGGCAACATAAAGTGCATTTATATCTTTTGAAATATCTTCCAAAATACGATCCCACTAAAAAAGAAATCTTGTTAATTAATTGTTTATTATTTATTAAAATACGAACAGACGGTAGGTAATTATTTACTCCTTGATTTGGAAGTTCCATATAATTCATTACTAAACGTTCTTGAATAGTTTTATTTGTCTGTGCTGAAATCATATAACCCACGGCTTCATAAAAGGTTTGAACCTAACAATAAGTTTAAGAATTTTTATAACCTATTATTTGTTTATCCTTTTTTTTTTTAAAAAAAAAAAAAAAAAAAAAAANCCGTATACTTTTGATCGCCTACTGTATATATATAGATTGCAATCTACCTATTAAATTCAAAGATAACAAATAACGTTATTACTTTTTTTTTTTAAAAAAAAAAAAAAAAAAAAAAGTAACCTGCTGTGGAGACAAATCCTTTGTAATTGTCTCAATGCCACTTATAATCTCGTCTATGAAAGGAGTAGTTTCTCCTTGTTGCTGTGAAATAAATTGACGCCGGCATTTCTGAGCAATTTTAATAAAAGTATCACAAGCCATATCTTGAACACCTATATAATATATAAAAGTGTAACTATTGAAATCTATAAAGCTATTTTTCTCATTATACTACTAGTTCCAATACCTTCATGGGTTTCATGCATGAATTCAAAAAGTTTATTAACAACCGTTTTCAAAAACTTCCAATGAGCCTTGAGAAAACGGGGATATTGACCGACGATATACATGATATTCGAGGCAACTACAGCCTTGTTGTCTTTTCCGCGTTTCTGTTCACATAAACTTAGGAGTTCTTTAATTACTGTCACTAAAAACCTTTTTTCCGTGTCTTCATCTACAAATTTACGAAGTTAGACGAAACAGACAACGAAGAATATCGGGAAAAAATATTATTATGCAGCGATCATCATACTCATTGCACCGGAAATGGATCCAATTGCCCAACAAAGCTTGTTCAAATTGTTCCAAGACCATTCAGAACCATCGATCTGTCGAAAAGAATTGATAATTTAATTCAGGCTAATAATTAATTATTCGTAGGAAATCATTCATCACCTGTTTTGTTAACTTATTTGACATAATTATTTCTGAATCTTGAACATCTAAATGTGTTAAATATACTAGACACTCTCGCATGCTTTTGTATAATGTGATCGTGTCACAGTCTTTCATAAATTCACGAACAATTTCACCTTCATCGTTCTCAACCACCAGCACCTAAGCGACAATGTTAGTTCCATCTTTCTAAGAACAATATATTGCTTATACCATGTAGCTTACCTCTTCAGGTTTTACCATGCGATCGATCATAATAACTCTTAAATTTGTTAAGATATCACTATACATATGTTTTCTCAAAGGAATGTTCGCAAGCGTAGAAGGTGGAGAAGATACACCGGTAATAGAAAGAAGAGGCATCTCAAGGACGGGCAAATTTTGTATCTCTTCGTATAATTCGGCAACCTGTAATAGCATAAGTAAATAAATATCTAAACTACATTTTATATCCCGAAAATAATTTTTTTTTCTTACCAATTTAGTCCAATATTCCAGGCAAACTTTGAAAACTTCTCGTTCTTCAACCTGTGAGATCCTAAGGAGATAATAATGGGCTTTTAAAAGAGGTTGACTGTTCTGCTGAGACTCCATGATCTACAGAACAGTCCGGTATATTGAGCTATTGTGAATTTATTTCTCAACTTTCCAATAAAGAGACCCGGGTCTTGAGCTTTGTACCTTAAGATGAGTACTCAAAAAGCCTGTGAAGAACAGTGCCAAATTCTGAATAAATTCCTGTTCTTCGTTACTGCTATTCTTGTATATCGTGGCGAAATCTTTTAAAATTTTTAGATACAGAAATTAGCTAAATTCTATAAAAGTATTATATATCCAGAAAAATAAATACCTGCTGAAACCGGTACCATAGATTCGAGAGCTGCAACAACCATGTTAAACAAAGCTATGAATTTATCGTCGTATTCGTGGCTTACGTTTAATGCTCCTATCTCACTCAGACATTTCAACGTCACATTACGATATTCTGCAGATTCCATAAACTATATAATCATTAAAAGCTGGTTATTTTAATGAATATAGATTTGTGGAAGTAAGTTAATTGGAAATAATATACAAATTTACCCTATTCCGTAAGTTTTCTATAATATTTGTCTCAAAAATGTAACCTAAAGGAATCCAGTTTAAAAATTTTAATAGGGTTTCTAAAGTTGCTTTGATTAAACTTGGCTGATGCGCTTTTTCTAGTACTTCATTACAAAGCTCGAATATTTTGGAAAATTCATGACACATTTGTGTCTTTAAATTCTTTGTCTTGAGCTGTGTCATTTGTTCAGCAGAATAGTCAAAAATTTCCTCGCTTGATAGAAAATGAATAAGTTAAATAGTAAAATTATTACTTAAATTAAAAAATTTTAATCTATTTTCTCATAATAATTCCTAACCTTAACAACTTTAAGATAGCCATATTATTTTCACATATTGTTACGTTAGATCTACCAGTGCTGACAATTTCAGGAATAAATTGTGGCCAATTATGGGGCCATTCTTGTTTAAGAATCTGAATAATATGGATAAAATTAGTTAAGTAAATATTATTTATTATTTTTTTTAAAAAAAATATTTACTAAAAGTCTCGGGTTCATTTTTTAATTACCTGGACTAAAATCAAATTAAGTTTGTTTAAATACGTTTTTTCTTTTCGAAGTGATTGTTCATTGTCAGATGTAGCTACGATAATATTAACAATGAAACTTCGAATTCCTGTTAAATATATTTAATTTCGATGAGATTAATATGATAAGTTACAAATTAAATACATATTTAATAATTTGCCAAAATAATATATGCCTGCTTGTTGTTCTGGAGGGAGAATTTTCCATTTTTGTTGAATTAGCTTTTCAAGGATTTGAAGAGCGATAAACTAAGATTGATTTTAATAATCATTATGCATAAGATAAGATAAGGACAATCAAACCATTTAAGTAGAGAAGCAATAAAAAAAACCTTGGTATGAGTAAATTTAGATTTGTCTAATATTGCATCAACCTTCAACCAGGCATCTGGGTGATTTTGAAACTGAGTAAGCACTGTTTGTGCCTTTTTTTGCTATAAAAAAATAAAAAAAAACAAATATATAACTATAATGAATACGGATTGATAATCAATAGACGCATTAATAAAAACCTCTTCTCCAACACCAGTGTAAAACGTCCTGACAGTAGCGTCTAACTTATCAACGTCAAACTCTTGTGTGAAATCCAGAATGCTCTAGGTCCGAGTTAAATAGAAAAGAGCATAAGTCGCGGTAATTTGATATAATTTATTTGATAAGTTAATGATTACTCAAATATTCGTTACCTCCATACTGGTCTTATAACATAAACTATCAGAATAAGTCAAATTTAACAATTTATTCGAATGTTGAATAGTCAGATGTATTGAAAACGTTAGTATATTATTATTTATTTAAATTCACACAAAACAAAAAAAAAGCGCGCTCCAAGAAACAAGATAAATGACAAAGGTCAAAAGGTTTAAAGAAATAAACGTTTTATATGTTTATTTTTTTTCAAAAAAATTACTTATTATTACAAATAGTAATTGTAAAAATAAATTTAAAAAGATTTGCAACAAAAAGTAAACTTTAAAGGAGTCACACTAACCAAGATCTTGCAAAGAAGAAAAAAATTGAGAACTTTGAAATCTGTTTATTACACCTAAAAAATGGGGGAAAATGGAAAAATTGGATAGTCGATTTGTCAAAGTGATTTGTCAACGTGATCGTCTGTTAATTGATTTGTCAAATTTGATTTGTCATCCAGAATTCGATTCATAATCAGTTAATCACTGATTAGCAGTATATTAACTGCGACGAATAAAATTGTTACTCATCTTTATTAGATTCGGATTAATTTAAAAGTATAAAATATTTACATATAAAGTATATAAAGCGAATAAATGATTTTTCATTTATCTATATTTAACGGTTCATTATCATAACTACCATCATTACTGCCCCTGCCCCTGCCCCTACCCCTGCCCCTACCCCTACCCCTACCCCTACCACTACCACGTGCACTTGTAAAACCGCGACCAGCACGGCCACGGGAACCTCGACCTCCTCTTTTACTCACACGAGAGCCACGAGAGCCACGAGAACCGCGAGTTCCTTGTATATCATTTTCGCCATCATCACGTGAACTACGCCCACGAGTTACTGATCCGGAACCGCGACCTCTTCTACTATTACTATCAGCATCGATATTTCTGGGTTTGTTATTAGTACCACTACTTCTTGATAGCAGCATATCCATATTATCATCGCAGCCTCCAAAACATCCTCTTATGATCCTGTTGGTACGATATACAATAGTAAGATAATAAACAGGTTGAAGGGGGTTCCTCGAGCATATTGAACATACTTCATTGTTAACTGTAATGCTCTTTATTGAGTTGGGACTATTGAAAAAGAAACCATCATAATTGCAATTCGGATAATTAATACATGATATGATCCAATTATTTTGTATCTTCTTCAAATACATAGGCCATGAGTCACGGCACCATCTAACTAATTTTGGATTTTCAACATTAATTATATCGTTAAAAACTCTATGAACATCATCTGTTCCAGAAGTAAAATATTTCGCAAACCCTCCAATCAGAAGCTGCAAATTATTATGGGTTACTAAGAACATATCACGATATTTGTTAACATTTTCAGTCAAAACATCATTTTTCTCTCGCGTTCCTTCACATATTTCCTTTAGGTTTTGCTCCATTTTTGCTCTTAAAAGGGGTTTAGTCAAAGATTCATTAAAACCAATAGAATCATATCCCTCAACAATAGCGAGTCCCAAATTAGATGGGATTAAATAGGTTTTGTTTCCTTGATCTTGTTTCTCAACGTATTCACGATCAATTATTTTTTTGATGTGTTCATGAATTGTTGCGTCGGTACCAATACCATTTTTGTCCATAGTGTTAATAAGTTCTGCTTCGGTTAAATATTCCGGTGGCGTTGTTTCACCTTCTTCCATCGTACATTCTTTTGGTGTAAACGTTTCATTAAGAATAAAATTTGGAAGGTTTTTATCACTCCAACGATCATATGGATATACATCCAAATAATTGTTTTCTGTAATAACAAGTCCTTTAGCAGTAAAATATTCTTCCTTGATTTTGATCTTAACAGTAGTTTCATTTCCTTTAGCATCATCCGAACAACAAGCTAAAAACCTTCGAACAACAAATTCATATACAGTCTTTTCTTTGCCGGTTAATCCTGTTGCATACTGGACCGGATGTATTGGAGGATGAGCTTGATCATTATGTTTACCTTTCCTTGTAGTTATCCTTTTGTCAAGCAAGCTTGACGCGAAATCTCCCCATCTTGGATCCTGTGATTGTGCTTGTATCAAATCTTTAAAGTTAAATTGATGATCAAATTGATCAGTTTCCGTTCTCGGATAACTTATAAAACCTTTATTATATAAATCTTCCGCAATTTTCATGATTTCGGCAGATGAAATATGTAAGAACCGGCATCCTGCTTTCTGTAATTCAACTGTAGTTAACGGAAATGGCTTATATTTTCTCGTCTCTTTAGTAACAACTTCTACTACAGTTGCTATTACTGGCTGGTCCATCATCAAATCACAATATATTGCATTGCAACAATTTACGTTAAATAATACACCCTTATCCCAATTAAAATTAACTATTGTGTCATCTCGATCTACTACAACATGTATTTTCCAGAATTTTTCTTTAACAAAATTTTCGACAGCTTTGTACCTCTCAACAACAAAACCTAGTGTTGGAAATTGACATGAGCCATAGCTCAATATTCCATTTCCTAGTTCTGGAAAAATTTGCCTTAAACCTAATGTTTGGTATCTAGTGAATGCGTATCCGATACGCAAATCTAATTCCATTCTAGTGTTGACTGCTTCGGCTTGATTCATATCAAGTTGCACAGGTGATTCCCATGCTTGCTTAATTTGTGGTGGTATAATTGCTGAAAATCTTGCACGTGATACAACTATGTCAGAATTGGCCATACGACAAATGTCTACAATGTCCGAACCAATTTTTTCGCCCTCTCGATCACAGTCGGTCCATATCATCAAATGGCTTACGGAATGCGCTATGTTAAAGATGTTTTCTCTTATACACTCCGCGTTCTCATCAATAGTTTTTTTAATAATAGGCGCATCGAATAAAACAGTTGGCGAACAACTTTCCCATTTGGCATATTGGCTAGGAAAATCGAGTGCGTTGATATGTCCGCAAACTGAAGTTATTATTACTTGGACTTCTTTACTATTCAACTGACACTTGAATTCATAATTCTTTATATAATTTATTCTAGAATTTCTCATTACAAAACGATTCCCGGACAAAATTTTAGCTATTTCTTTTGCTACTGAAGGTTTTTCGGCAACACAAAGCACTTTTTCGCTTTCCATACGAATATATTATTGTATTACTGTTAAAAACGCGTAAACTTTTAAAAGCTGTGTAATTATAATTTAAACAGTTAACCTTAAATAATCAAATGAATTATTGCCAAGTTAGGAGTTTGTAGTAGTGTCACTTTTCACGTGATAGATTTCAATTTTAGAAATGATCGACATAACGTGTTACATCGTGCAAAAATTTGAGTGACTGCGGTCTATATAACAGTTTACCTAACCAGTTTATCCTCTATTTAATTTTTTTCCGATTCACGATAAATTTACTTCAGGTAATGAGAAATAATTTTCGCGTATTTACATGTTTATAATAAAATTTCTGACAAGTATGTCTTTGATAATAATAGATTGCCAAAGACATGGAAAACGATCCTGATTTGTAGGTTAATTTCTAATATTACCCATAATACAATTCCTTTGTTTGTTATAAATAGTAAAAATATTAAAAAAATATTTACTTTATGAATAGAAAAATTCCGACAATTGAAATTTCGGAGTCACCAGGACCGACGGGCAACGATGTGGAAAAAAGAAGAGAATGGAAGAAATTGAATAAATCAAGATTAAGGCGATCGAAAAGCATGGGAGGACCATGTACTGATGATTCGGCGAGTGAAGGCTGCTCTACTGATGATTACCGACTCGTTTCTCCGAAAATATTGAGAAAGACTAACGTGAAAAAAGAAAGCTTTGATGGTTGGTTTAATTTATTGTTACATCCTTAAATGATATTTGACTTAAATTTTTTCATATTTTAGATTTTGTAAAGAGGCGGCGTAATTTATTAGAAAGACAGCGTTCCACAATTTCATTGTATACTTCACCTATCCTTGTGATGACTTATTTCTCGGCATATGTAATTTATCAAGTCAAAACAGCCGTGGAATATGCACAATCAAGAAAATGGATCATAACATCTATACCTATATTAGGAATTTTGATTCAATTTGCATTGTTAGTTGAGGGAGCACATCAAGATGTAATTAAATCATATTATATTATATTATAAACTTTTATAACATTTATTGTTAATTAGGAATTATTTTAATTGATCGATCTAGTATTATATGGTTTTTAATTATAATTTTAGGTGATATATCGAGTTCAATCTTATGTCGTTTGGTATTTTTATTGGATTGGTTTGGGAATCGCTTCATCAGTAGGTCTGGGTACAGGTCTACATACATTTGTATTATTCTTAGGTCCTCATATTGCGGAAGTGACTTGGGCAGCTTATAAATGTGGAAATTTGGATTTTGAAACGTTTGGTCCTCATAGGTAACACGGTTTCTTTTGATAAGGTTATTTATATTATAAGTAAAATTGACTCATTCTATAATATATTAATTTAAAGATTTCGATGCCAGCCTTCTGTATCAACGTCAGTTGCAGTATCGTTATTGAGTATATTTAAAAAAGTTCAATGGGAGTCTTTCTTTTGGGGGTTTGGTACGGCACTTGGTGAATTGCCTCCGTACTTTGTTGCTAGAGCAGGTTAGAAACAAAATTTAATATAATGTATAAAAGAATATTTAAATAACAATGTTTATATATTACCATAGCCGCTTTATCAGGTAGTCGTAGTGAAGAATTAGAACAGATAGATACTTTAATGGCTCAAAACCCAGATAGTATATCACATAAAGAAAAGGTGTTCATATGGGTTCACCGGCTTATGCAAAGATTAGGATTTTTTGGAATATTTCTATTTGCTTCGGTGAGTATTATAGTTTATTTAATAAATTGTAAAGTATGTACAATGACTTTTAATTATTATAATTTATTTTCTTAAATATTAGATTCCAAATCCTTTATTCGATCTTGCAGGTATAATTTGTGGACAGTTTTTAGTACCATTTTCAACATTTTTTGGGGCAACATTTTTAGGCAAAGCAGTAGTAAAATCCTCTATTCAGGTATTTAACGATATTCTTTACACATATTTTTTTTATTAAACACGTTATCTTATTTTATCATGTCTGATGATAAAAAAAAATCATACATATCTTTTCAGACTCTTTTTGTAATTCTATTATTCTCCCAAGATATGATTAGCACTATTTTGGATATTACACATCATTATTTACCATATGTACATGACAAACTCCAAAACGTTGTACAGCGGCAAACTAAAATGTTAAGACGTGAAAAGGGTGAAGATGCTCCTGAAATTAGTCCAGTACGTCAAACTAGTGATTTTAATCAAGATTTTATATACAATTTATATACTTGATATTTATTAAGCTTTATTTTTTAGGGTAGCCCTAGTTATATATCTATCGCATGGAATTGCCTTTTTAATATTATGTTGGCTTATTTTGCATTGTCAGTAATTGAAACATTGGCTATTTCACATCTTAAGAGAGTTCATGACAAAGAAATCGAAGATTTGGAAAGAAAGGCAAAGGAAAAAGCTGAAGCAGAAGGAGATGGTATTGAAGAATCTCCAATGTCAAGAAGTGTTATTGAAGGGGATCTTAAACGGGAAATAGATTTAGGTAGAGGTTATTCAAGTAGTTAATAAGAAGTACTTAATAAACGAATATTACTATATTATGCTGTATGGTGTCTTGAATTGAATAGAAATATTATCTGGCTGGAAATATAGACTTATATAGTGTTATTTCTTGTTAATTTTTTAATTTTATCTAAAATCATATACATCAAGGTTATGAATGATGTAAATATTAATGCAACTTAGTTTTATTACATAATCATTTTGTTTAATTAATTAGCATATAGAAAAGGAAAACGTGTTGAATGTTTTTAAGAATATAATAAAACTTAAATTGTTAATAGTACAGTTTATTTATATACGTATCTTACCAAAAATTTTCCACTTTCTATAGTTTCTAAAACGATTTTTTCTTTAAACATTTAGAAATGTAATAATCCATAATAAGAGATTGTTTATTTAACTAACGATTAAAAATAAGAATCACTTTCATATGAAGTTTCTTCTAAATAATAAGAAAGAAAGTTAATAACTAAATATGCGTGAAACTATATTATTGGAAATAATTAATAAAAAAAACAAGCCTTGTATATTCCAAATTTCATCTTCGTCTTCATCAGGATAATCATGAGTATAATAATCCTCAGCTGAAAACCATTTTTTTTTAACTTATCGTAAGATAATAAGAATTAAGGAATAATTAAATGTAAGTACAAACCATTAGAATCTTCTTCATCGGAGTAAACGAAATCATCTTTATCATCTGATTCATTAACAAATATTTCGTTTTCATCATCATTAATCCAAGTTCTACAATAAAGCTTCAATATGAACAAATCGTGATTAAAAAATAGAAATTAATTTAAAAATTTAACATACAATGAAGCGATGTTATTAAAATTAATTTGATCATCTAAATCCATAGCATCGTCTCGATAATATACATCATAAACATAACCATCATCCAAATCGGTTTTATCTTCTTTATCTATTTGTTCTTGAACTAAAAGATCATGATAATTAGAAAATAGTAACAATATAATATTTCATATGGGAAAATATACATACGTGAAAGGTATTGTCGCACCATTGGAATAAAATTGCACATGATTTCAGAATCAATATCATCTTCTTCAACAAATCTAATTAAAAATGACCTGAGTTAATTCATCTTTCCGAAAAAAGAGACAAATATAAAAATCATGAATAATTCATAAGAATAAACATAAAACTCTTATAACTGACTAACTTTGGTTCCATAGGTGCTTCACTTTCCTTGACTGCATCGTACATTTTAAATAATTCTGTAAAAGTCTCATCTTCATCTTCCACATCATCACTAGAACCGATAATTAATATAATAAGTCAAACAAGAACCTTTTAGAAAATATACATAAAATAAAGTTTCTTTTACCTCGAGATATTAGTAAATGAGCCATTTTTTTGTCTATTCCTATCAATAACTTTATATCTTTCTTCTCGTCTATTTTCATTAGTTCGGGCAATTTTTTGCTCCCGAATTTGTTTAATATCAATTCCTTTACGTTTTAAGGTATCTTTACGATTCATAAGTTTCACTATACGATCCTAAGCATATCGAATGAGTTTTTTTAATATCACAAGTATAATAAATGAGTTAATTTATTAAAAAAAATCATCATACTTTCAATTGCTGTGTTTTATTCGAATCATTGAAGCTAATCTCATCAACCGTTTCCGCGAATCGAAATATAAACGGTACAGACTCTTTGGTTTCTCCTTTTTCTGCGTTCGAAAGAAAAGAATGCTTCAGTTACATTCACAAATAAAATATACCGAAAACAGTACTCTTTTACCTTTTATCTTCCGATTTTCTTTGACTTCTTCAATTTTCAGATTACTAGCTTTACGCCTAACTTTCTTTTTCTCAGGACTATGTCCATTTTCAAAGTGTTGGACAACTAAAAAGGGCGTTAATGAAATATTGAAAAAAATCGAAAGGAAAAGATTTACTTAGTATTATTAAAATACCAAGCGCGTCTAAAGGTTCCTCATTTCGCTTTCGTTTCAGGCGAATGATAGTTAACCCAGAAGGTGTTGTTGTAGTCTCTATAATTGGAGCTGATGCAGAAGCTTCTTTTTGAATATCCATACTTTTTACAACTTTTTTCATTGCCCTCTTTTATTTATATTAATATTCTGGTTACACCAATTTGACAAATATGAAAATGATTTTCGTCCAGATTATCTCAAATGTGAAGCGACCACTATAATATGTTAAATATGAAACGAAAAGTGAATTCTCTTGCAAAAAAAAGGAACAAGAAAAATAAGTTGACGAAAAAGGATTGGAAGTCACTAGAAGAGTATGGTACTCTAAATCCTATTGAGTTGGAAGAGAGCGAAGAAGAAGAAAATCTTTCAAAGTACGTAATAGGAAATTAATTCTCTTTTGCTTGGAAATAATTTGTATAATCAATTTTTGATAGGAGAGTGTTTACGGAAGATCAATTAGATGAAGGGATAAAACGAGAAGAGTATGATAAAATGACATATGATGCATCTGATGATGCATCTGATGATGATGATGATGATGAAAATGATGAAAACGCTGAGGATATATATTTAGATAAACCTAATTCTTCTTATAGAAAACTTGTTGGATTATTACAAGTTAATAAAAAACGAAAAGTGGATAAAATGAAAAAAGAGAACGTGGACATTAATAAAACGGATAAAGTTGATGTCGCTAAGAGTGATTTAGGAAATAAAGAAGTAGAGATGAAATATGAAAGTGGTTTACAACAAGAAAGTGGAAGAAATAAAAAGGACAATGGAGAAAAAAAGGAAAGAGAAAGAGAAGGAAAAGATGAAGAAGAGGAACAAGGAAAAGCCGAAGGAAGTAGTAATGAAGATGACGAAAGGGAGGATGAGGAGAACGAAAAAGGTATCTTTTGAGTATCATCATTTTAACATCATTCATATAATAAATTAACATTAATTATACAGACGAATTTGAAAATCATTTTGGAGATCAACAAAAAAGACAACAGATATTAAATAGCAAAGTAACAATGATTGAACAAAAACAATGGAAGTTAATAAATTATGAAAATGCATCTTTAAAACAAGTTAGTAAATATATACTCAATGATGACGGTGAGAAGGGTGATGATGAAAATAACAAATCGAATATCGAATTATTAAAGGTATTTATAAGTTAAAGATGAGATATTTTAATTTGTCATGTGTGTTAAATTGTCTGTACGTAGATCAGACCGAAGTTATTAGAAACTTGGAAAAAAGTTAATAAAGTTAATAATAGTAGTAAGTTCATGTAATATTCTAGCCAATGGCGACCGTTGTCTTGACGGTCTGATTAAAACTAAATAATACTAATTTATTATTTATAGACGATATATTCACCGATTTACAGTGGCATTTATTCCAACAATTTAATAAATACCAAGACGTATTATATACGAATAGAAATATAGAAAATTCATTCGAGTTAAGATATATTTACGCTTTACATGCCTTAAACCATATTTATAAGTAAGTTAATTTTATTATACCGTTGTTATAAATTTAATATTTACTAAATAATATGAACTTGCGTAGGGTTAGAAATCGTATATTAAAGAATAATGAGAAATTAAATAAGGCGCATGCAGCTGGTAAAGACATCGAGTAAGTAAAAAATGTGTAAGCCAAAATCATTAGAGTATATTTTGTTTTAATTTATTATATTTAAAGTGAAATAAGGGATCAAGGATTTACAAGGCCGAAAGTGTTGATTTTATTACCATTTCGTAATTCCGCTATGAGCTTGGCAGAAATATTAATAAAATTATCAGGGACTGATCAACAAGTAAGTGAATGAGAAATTTAATTTCGATTTCAGAAGTTTATAAATTGTTTTTTTTTCTTTTTTCTTTTTTTAGGAAAATCAAAACCGATTTTTTGAGTCTTATGGAATAACACCTGAACAAGAAAAAATTGATCTAAAGAAACCGGGTATATGTCGACTTTGTCGTTATCGTATTTCGTATCTCATTAAATTAATTTGTTAAACTTTTGAACAGCCGATTTTTTGGAGACATTTAAAGGGAATATTGATGATATGTTTAGAATTGGAATTAAGTTTACAAGAAAGTCTATGAAATTTTATGCTGAATTCTATAGTGCAGATATTATAATTGCGTCTCCTTTAGGATTAAGAATGATAATAGGAACTGAGGGGTAAGCAGAACTCTTTTTTTTTAAAAAAAAAAATGGTATTTAACTAATATTTACGGAAATTAGGGACAAGAAAAGAGATTTTGATTTTCTTTCGTCAATTGAAGTGATTATAGTCGATCAATGTGATACACTCTTAATGCAAAATTGGGATCATGTCGAAGTAAGTGTGAAATGTACTCGCTCGTATTATTTACTATACGTTACTAAAATTTTTTTAGCATATATTTAGTCACATGAACTTGATCCCGCAGAAATCACATGATTGTGATTTCTCACGTGTAAAGAACTGGTATCTAGATGGAAGGTAAAATATACTTATTTGTTTTTGCGAATTTAAAATTTTATATTTTAAAATTAAGTTTAATCTTTACTATAAAGAGCACGATATCTAAGACAGACTATCATACTCTCTGATTATTTGACACCGGAAATCAACATGTTATTTAACAAACAAATGAATAATGTTGATGGGAAAATGAAAATTAAACATCACCATCAAGGAACAATATTAGATGTCAATGTGAAAAATATTCGACAGGTATGAATAAGTCGCGTAAATTACTTTGTAAAGGCTTCTGCGATTGTTAACTCTTGTTCATTTCTTAAATCAAAGATATTTACACGAATTGAATGTAATTCATTATCAGAAATAGATGATATAAGGTTCAAATATTTCATTGAAAAGGTAAAACTAATTATTTATAATATGAGTATCTCGTTTCGAAAATTAAATTTAATATTTTAAAAAAATGATTTATAGATATTACCTAAAACAAGAAAAATGAATTTATCACATGTAATGATTTTCATACCATCATATTTTGACTTTGTAAGACTAAGAAACTATTTTGAAGAAAATACTATTTCATTTACGTCCATCAGCGAGTTAAGTCAATGTTATATTTTTTTTAGAAATTTATATCACGAGATTGTCAAATTAACAAAATCATTCATTGTTTGATTGTTAGATATACGAATGTTTCTGATGTTACAAGAGCACGTACTTATTTTCTTAACGGAAAAAAAAATTATTTATTGTATACGGAAAGATTTCATTTTTTTAGAAGGTAGGTCAAAAATAAGTTTGCTATATATCTCTTAATTATATATTCAATCAATTTTTTTTTCGTTTAGACACCATATGAAAGGAATACATCATGTTATATTTTATGCTTTACCAGATCACGCTCATTTCTATTCAGAACTTTTAAATTCTATACAATCCTCTTCTTCTGACAAGAATTCAAACGAAAAGATTACAATTAATGTGATATTTTCAAAATATGATAAATTGAGATTGGAAAGAGTTGTCGGGAGTGGTAAAGTCAGTAAAATATTACAAGGAGAAAAGAAGATTTACACGTTTAGTTAACCAAGAAGTGCTTGAGAGAAAATATTATTGTTTGATAGAACTTTTATGATGATATAATTCTTGATAGTAATACAAAATCTTTTAGTATGGTACTATGTATTTACGCTATTCAATGAACCATTTTTTTTGCATTTTTTATATATTAAGCGTTTTTCGAATTTCGATGATAAATGATAATATTTAACACCTAATTCACAAATAAAGGTTAAAATATCATCACTTAAATGTAAGACGTCACAAGATAAAGATGATTCTTACTAAAAAAATTATCATTGTTTTATTTAAATAAATGATCAGTTGTTTTATTAATAACTTATTTAGTTTTTCAAAGGGTGATAACGAATAGGCAAACTTATCAGTAGTTTATAATTAGCAATTTTAATTGAAAATTGACATATTATCAGATAATTGCAGAACTGATAATTATTAAAATTCTTTATAATGACAATAAATTAAAAAATTCAAAGGTTAAAAATCGAGAATTAAAGTTGTTCCATCATATATTATTGTTTTATTTTGATATAACTAATTTTTGGGAATCGATAAAGAATTATCATAAAATAATTTTGTTAAATAACAAAATTGTTCCGCAGTTAAATTCTCAGGCCGTAATGACATATCGACGTTCAATTGTTCAATGATTTTTAAGATTATTTCTTTTTTATTTTCTGATAAATTCTTTTGCAATTTGCTGTGGCACATAATTTTTATATACAAATTAAAATCGTATAATACTGTATTAATAATAAAATTAATAAAAGAAAAAGAACTTACTTAAATATAGAATTTAGCGTTTTTCGCCGGAATAAATAAAAATATCCAACGATTTCTTCCAACAAATTAACTGGCGCTAAATTTAGAATTTTGACTGAATAAAATTTTATTTATAACTATTCACTTTTTGACGATTATTATTATTACCTTTCAAGAACGGATTAGGTAAAGCGGTTAATTGAATTACACTTGCATCAACCTTGGATAAGCAAAATTCCGTGTTATTGTAAACATGTAATTTATTCCGTGCCATAACTAAATGTTATTGTTACCTTTGGACGAGGTACAAATACACTTGAAGGAACTTCATAAATCTTTTTGACTTCACAAAAACTTTGCACTAAGACCGACATTCGACCACGTTGTGGGCTGGTTGTATCAGCAATAATTCTCTTTCGAATTTATTCAATAAATAAGAATAAAAACTTCTGCAAACAAACAATTTATTAACAAATAGATTCTCACATCTCCAACTTCTTTTTGAAACATTAATGTCATTGTAATATTAGAAAATTTAAATATCCCCGATCGATCTGATAACATTTTTATCCATTGTACGAGAAATGAAGATGCAATATTAAACGGTAGATTTCCAATTAGATGTAAATTAGAGACTAATATGATATAGCGATTAAAAATATATTTTTAATTAAATTAATTTTTTTTTAATAAAAAAAAATGAAGGAATACCCTGGATTCTATCTTCATCTATATGTGCGGCTTTCATAATCTTTTCGTGATCGATTTTTAACATATCGCCTTTTATTATCTAAAAAATGATTTGCAATAGTCATCTCTTCAAATATAAACAAATTATCTGAAACGTACCTTACTTTTAAAGTGTGCTCGGAAGCTTCTGCTAATTGCTACATAAGAAAAATTTTATCGATCGGTAAATTTTTGCTCGATAGTTATAACAATCGATTTTAAGAAACTTACCATAAGAGTAGGTAAAAATCGGCCATCCTTCTCTATGACTACGATGTTAGAAATTCCTGTTTCTAATATTGACCTTGTCAACAAACCAGGCCCTAAAAAAATTACTTCTCTTTATATTTAAGGATTTATTAGAGTTATAGCATATAATAAAAGTATTCAAAATACCGGGCCCTACTTCAACGACAAGCGTATCATTTTGACTTATTTTTGCATATTTTACAATTTTATCTAAAAAAAAAAATTTAATAAATTTTATTCTTTAAATCATTGAACGCGCCAATTCATCATTCATCCTTAATAACCTGTGATATTTTTATCTAAAATAAAATTTTGACTAAGTTGAGACTTTGCTGTTAAACCATATATTTTTACCAAGTCACGTACTGCTAATAATCTTGGAAATTGTTTAGGAATCATTTTTTAATATACATATCTGATATACGAATTTTGATAATCAAAGAAATTTATTTGGTTTATCCGAATCACGTTTTGTTCTAGCTAAATTTATGAATTATCGATGATGTAAGCAGTGAAATAATAAAATCGTAAAAAAAAACCAGCTTCAAAGCCTCATTGTTGGTTTGCACCTCGGATTCCTTCTGTTCACAATAAAGAAAATAATGTGCCCCTCCCCATTATGAACAGTGAGGAACCATCTTTCACGTCCTTCTCCCCACCGCCTGTTAATAGTAATTCTACTACAGCAAAGACGTCGTCCACTACGCCCCATCACTTGAGATCTTCTCAAACGAGCTTAATCAACATTGTAAAAGCTCAAATTTCCTTCCGGTTGTCTACCCTTTCGGCTGAGAATTACGCTCTCAACGTAGCCGAAATTAATTCTGTAAGTTTTAATACATTCGTGTTTAGATCTCTTAACGTCTAAGTAGTTAAATATAAAAGATCTAATTTTAAAAAAGTTGTAATCGTTTGGGACTAGCAGTATAAAAGTTTTGTTGACAGCCAAAAAACTTACTAACAATTTTTACCTCACGCTATTTAATTTTAAATTGTAGCTTATAGATCAACACGGCCAGGATACACATTTTCATTTATTGCGACGACTTCTTATTGATTCAAGAATTTGTAATACTGGAGCCCGTAGCTCGGAATTGCTCAACCATTCTTTGAGCTATCGTCTATTAATTGAAAAAGTTATAGAAGCTGCAAGTGATCCTGCTCTTTCGGCTGTTTTCTGTGAAGCTTTAAATTCCGTAGACAATAGCGATTCTTTTAAAGACCTTGACTTAAATAGTTTTTTAGAAAACGTTGGAATTAACCCACCCGAAAAAGTTGGATTTTGTATTTCATTGTTATCGGCAAATAGAAAGGAAATTGTAGAACAAGGTTAGGTCCATTTACAAACATATTGATGCTTTATTATAATGTTTAAATGTTGCACAGATCATAACAATTTTTTTTTTTCTTTTGATAAAAAAATCAATCTATAGCACGCGAAATTATTAAGCAGAATATAGATCCATTATTTGAAGCTCTAGGAGATCAACCAGTTCAAGCTAATTTATCGGATAAACTTAAGCAACATCTAATTGCCTATTTCGAAGCCGAAAAAAGAAATTCTCTACCTGCGCAAAGTGATACCTCCAAGCCTGTTGTTCCTTTTCCTCTTCCTGAATCAGTGTAAGTATAATCATTGTATTTCTCGGTATCAGTGTATTTTTTATAATTTTAATGCTTATTTTCAATGAAATAAATGTATTTAGCAATTTTTCTAATATTAAAATGGGAGAACCAAGTGATCAAGCTCGGGTTACATTGCCCAAAATTATGCATGATGCAGGTTATAATTGTTGTAGTTCCGCTTCCGCATTTCTAAATATTTTGAATCAACTGGGAGTAACGTCAGCTGAATCTGGTGAAATTATCAGAGAGGATGATGTTGCTCAAGCTATTGGTATGATGGCAAGAACGCATATTGAGGATGGTAGTGCATGGAATCAAGTTACCGATCTTCAAGAACACAAACAGACATGGGATATTGAAATATTCGCATCAACTTTAGTGGAACTGGTCAGTAACTTTTTTTTTAATATAATAAAAAGTTCCTTAAATGACTTCAACATCAACCGATTTAGACTTTGAATGACAATAAAAATGATTGTCACTTTATTTTACTTGTATTTGTACTAAATAATAAATTTTTTTTTTATTCTAGCAACCTCATTTGGATTGGAATAAAGTAATAGAAAAGTTAGATTATCCAGAGTTTAGCATTAATGATACAAAGGGTTTGGAAATAATTTTATCAAGTTTCAAGAAAGCAGTTAAGGTAAATTAATACTTATATCAATTATTATTTTTAAATAAAGTTAATAATTTTCTTTATGATCTAGGATCAACAGCAATTTCCTCTACATGTATTTTGGGGACATTGGAATAATATCAACGGACAATTTAACTTCTTACGTCGTATAGTGCAAGCGCCGCCTGACATTTTTAACATTAATGATTATCCTGTGCAAAAGGTTTTATCTACGGATGATTTTGCGACATCAAACGCAAATCTTAAATCAATGTCCGGAATGCTCACAGCGAATCCATGGAATTCGGTTGAGTTGATTGAAGCTATGATCAAAATGGCCGATACTGACCTTTTTGAAGAAGTTAGACAGTTATTCGAAAGAGCATCTAAACAAACTCCTGAAGTCATGTGCTTAGGACTTGCTCAAGTACAAGTAAATATTGTTATTATGGTTTTATATCATTGTTACTTTATGTTTATTATTTAAAAAAATTGATATTGATGTTATCTTATAGAAACCATGGAATCCACTGCATCAAGAAATAGTGAACAGATTAGTTTTGATGTTCTTAACCGGGCATTCAAGTTCAACACCTGTTCTTACACGACTATGGCAAGTTAATAGTAATCTCTTCGTTGAAGGATGCCTTGAAATGTATAAAAAAGACGCTATGACCATATCAAGGATATTAGATATTGCACAGGATTTGAAGGTAAATGTTTAGATTGTTAATATAACTTTCCTTGTTTTCTTTAGATTATTTGACAAAAGAACTTAAGTTACTTTTATTAGCAATGCTAATGTTGTTAAACAATTTATCTTTTTGAATTATTTGTCAGCAGATATTGAATCCACTTTTAGCTGTTCAACCATTTTCTTTCTCAATTGACTTGGCAGCTCTCGCTTCACGCAGAGAATACCTTAATTTGGAAAAATGGCTACAGGACAATATAATTGAATTTGGTGATTCATTTGTTCACGATTGTTTAGAATTTCTCAGTCAAAAAATTGCTATGGAAGTTACGCGTGAAAATAATGGTAATCTTCAGTCAGTAAAACTTACCGGTGACGTGTTTGCTATTTTCCTGCGTATTCTCTCAAACAGGTTTGCTATCTATTAATAATTTTCTGAATACACAATTTTTAACAATTATTTAACCAATTCTAATACTTCATTTATAAAAGTTCAATGTCTCCAGCAAATTCTGAATTATTCAAAGAAATTAATAATACATCTATACATGTCTATCCACGTCTTTTGAATTCGTCCTCCACTGACGGAAATGCGCCGGATCAAACTTTCACAGCTGATGTAGAAGAAGAAGCAAATTCATATTATGAACGGGTGTATCGACAGGAAATCGGCATTGAAGATTTTATTAAACTATTACAGAGGTTTAAACATTCTAAAGAAAAGAGAGAAAACCAAATTTTTTCTTGTATGGTACACAATTTATTCGACGAATATCAATTTTTCCCAAAATATCCACAAAGAGAATTAACGATCACTAGCGTAATATTCGGGTCACTCATTCAATATCAACTTGTGATATATGAAGCGCTCGGTATTGCTCTCCGTTACGTTTTGAATGCTCTTAGGAGTCCCTCTGATTCTAAAATGTTCAATTTTGGAGTTCAAGCTTTATTACAATTTCAATCTCGTCTTCCAGAATGGCCACAATACTGCTCACATCTTTTGCAAATTACACAACTACAACAAGCTCATCCTGAAATTGTACAATCTGTTAGGTCTACACTTGCTCTTAATGCGAACAAGGGTAGCTCTACGACTCTCACAGCTACTCCCGCTATCACGTCCCCTACTACTATTAGTATTAGCATTAATAATGAACAATCTACTTCCAAAGCTGTAAATAATAGTTCAAGTACAGATGTTAACTCTAATAATAAACCTGCCTCCGAACAAAATAACAAAATTATCGATAGGCCAGCTTTCACTGCTTTGAACCTTGATACGTTATTAGCGGCCGATAAAGTTGACTATGAAGTTCCAAGCGAAGCAATTCAGGACAAAATCCTTTTTATCATCAACAATGTTGCTCAAAGTAATTTAGAAACTAAAGTTGCTGAAATGAAAGATATTCTCAAAGAGTCTCATTATCGTTGGTTCGCTAATTACCTAGTAGTAAAAAGAGCTAGCATTGAACCAAATTATCATCAACTTTATCTTCAATTCCTTGAGTCACTAGAAAGTCAATCTCTTTGTCGCCATGTTTTACATGAGTCATTTGCGAATATCAGAGTGTTACTGAATTCCGAAAAAACTGTACAATCGTCATCTGAACGTTCTTTATTGAAGAATCTCGGATCATGGCTTGGCGGTATGACATTGGCTAAAAATAAGCCTATTAAACATAAAAACATCGCGTTTAAGGTTTGTGATTAGGTAGAATTAATATTTATTATTTTTTCCTTGGTGTTTTAACCCTTTTTTCTTCGTAGGAGCTTTTGATTGAAGGATACGATAACAATAGATTAATAGTGGCTATTCCTTTTGTATGTAAAGTACTTGAGCAAGCGAGCAAAAGCAAGGTTTTCAAACCTCCAAATCCATGGTTAATGGCTATTCTCAAATTGTTAGTAGAATTGTATCAATATGCGGATTTAAAACTTAATCTTAAATTCGAAATTGAAGTACTATGTAAAAGTTTAGACATTGAACTTAAAGACATAGAACCAACAACGATCATTAAAGATCGTCCACCGAAAGAATTAGCTACAAATCAAACGGATAAACTTGCACAAGAATTTGATAAATGGCCTATCAGTAAATTACCGCCACAGCCATCGCAAGTTCCTGTTCCATCCACGCCCACTAGCCATCCTTCGTTACCACTAATGGATGAACCTATCACGAACTTGGGACAATTCATTACAATCAACCCTAATATACCAGGTGTATTTGCAAATCAGGGGTTAAGGAAACTTGTTCATATGGCTATTGATAGAGCTATCCGTGAAATTATTACTCCAGTGGTTGAAAGATCTGTGACTATTGCTGGAATTTCAACACGAGAATTAATAATTAAAGATTTTGCAATGGAACCAAATGAAGAAAAGATGAGAAATGCAGCTCACTTAATGGTACAAAATTTGGCCGGTAGTTTAGCTTTAGTAACCTGTAAAGAACCTTTGAGAATTAGTATGGCAACACATTTGAGAACTTTACTCTTGCAGAATGGATTTAGCGAACAAAGTATATCCGAACAAGCAATTCTCGTAATAGTAGCTGATAATCTGGATTTAGCTTGTACTTTTATTGAGAAAGCAGCTATGGATAAGGCAGTTCCTGAAATTGATGAATCATTGGCTTCATCATTTAGTAATCGCAAAAAGCATAGGGAAAGAACCGGCCAACCATATTATGATATGTCAGTTTATTCGGGTATCTCGCGCTATATGAGTACTCTACCTGAACCATTACGATTGAAGCCTAATGGTCTATTGCCTCAACAATTGAGAGTATATGAAGATTTTTCTCGTATTCCACGTTTAAGTAATCAAGCTGCGGAAATTTATAACGATCGTAACGTAAGATCTGGTATGCTAAGAGGTCAAGATTTCGGTATTGGTCACCCATATAATCCTACTGAAATGCCATTTGATAGTCCACAAGTGCAAATGCCAATCACAGCTCACCAGAGTTTGGAGAAATTTGGACAATATCTTTCAGAGTTGGATAAAGCGATAAGCAAATCACCACATGCTTCCTGGGCATCTCTGCCCCCTAACCACGATATTCGGTTGTTAGTCAAAGAAATTCCTTTATTAGCTACTCAATCATTTAACCGCGATGAGACTGCGTTACATTTTTCACAAAAAGTTGTTCAGCTATTGTATAAGAATGATTCAAATCTCTCACGGGAAGTATATGTTACGCTTCTCGAAAAGCTTTGCGAAATTTCCTACAAAGTCAACAAGGAAGTTACTGCTTGGTTAATTTACGCAGATGATGAAGTAGGCTTTGATTTTTTTTTTTATATCTCATGATTACCTAACAACATTAAATTATTTACTTACAAAATCGAAAAATTTTCATTTAGCGCAAATTTATTGTACCAGTAGTTGTCGCCTTAATCAAAGCCGGTCTTATTAATGCCAGTGATCAAGATACTCAACTTGCAAAACTCATCGAAAATGGAAGACCAACTGTGATCGATTTTACCACAAAATTGATCCGAGAATGTGCTTTAAGAGATCCTCCTTGTGCTAAACGTAGTGATTTTGTGGATTCGTTAGATGCTCTAACTAGATTAACGCAACGTGGCAAGGCTCCTGAGGCGTAAGTAAAAAAAATTTTAAAAACAAATGAAAAATTTTTATTTCATTAATTCTTATCTAATTAATTAATTTATTTTTACTCGAATAGCGTTATTCAACTTTTAGAAGATTTGAGACCACGGGTAAATCGAGAGGTTCTTAACAAAGAAGTAGAAAATATGGGATTGCGTGATCAACTGACTTACTTCTTTGTTGAATGGGTACGGGTTTATCAACATTCAGCTTCAAACGAAAAAACTTATGCCACTTTCATTATCCAGGTCAGATATTTAGCAAGTTTACATTATTTTATTAGCATAGTATTTTTACTTTAAACTCATTTAAATTTTATTATTTAAAAGTTGCAACAACAAGGTGTATTAAAAGGAGAGGAAATATCCTCAATGTTTTTCCGTGTTTGTACAGAGATGAGCGTCGATCACTATTTGAAACAAAAGGCGACTATTCAGGCAACACCTGTCGTCGCTTACCAGGCTATTGACGCTTTTTCAAAACTTATTGTTTTATTAGTAAAATATCACTCGGATCCAGAAGGAATTAACAACAATGTTGCTAAAATCAATTATCTTACAAAAATATTGTCAATTATCGTGTTGGTGCTTGCACAAGCACATGAACAGCGTCGTCAGCAGTTTAATCAAAAGCCATTTTTCCGATTATTTTCAAGTTTACTGAATGATCTAAATTCATATGAGCAACAACTTCAACCTATTTACTTCCAAATTCTTACAGCTTTAAGGTATTTTTTTTTACATTAATATTTTAATATGTAAAACTTTCCTATAAAAAAAGGTCAATGCTTAAATATTTTTTTTTTTTGTTAATTTATAGCAATAATACTTTCCATACTTTGCAACCTTTGTTCTTTCCTGGTTTTACTTTTGCATGGCTTTCATTAATCTCTCATCGTTTATTCATGCCCAAACTCTTACTCGCAGAGAATCAAAAGGTTAGCCTTTTTCATAAAGTCGGTATGAAACATTTTTTTTATATAATATTAATATTTTGTTTGTTGTTTATTAGGGATGGCCTGCATTTCATAAGCTTCTCTTATGCTTATTCAAATTTCTTGTTCCATTTTTACGCAACGTTGAGATGATCGATACTACAAGATTGCTTTATAAAGGGACACTGAGAGTTTTGCTTGTGTTGTTACATGATTTTCCCGAATTTCTCTGTGATTATCATTTCAGCTTTTGTGACGTTATTCCACCATCTTGTATTCAACTTCGGAACTTGATCTTAAGCGCATTTCCACGTAATATGAGATTACCTGATCCATTCACCCCAAATTTGAAAGTCGATTTGTTGCCTGAAATATCACAGTCACCACGTGTATTGTCAGACTATGCGTCTGCTTTGGTCGCCAATAATCTTAAAAATGATATCGATAACTATTTAAAATCACGTTCACCCATATCGTTTCCATCGGATTTAAAACAAAAACTGATGCTTGATTCCAATAATCAGCCAGAGATATTATCAACTGGATCTAAATACAATGTTCCAGTAATCAACGCTCTTGTCCTTTATGTCGGTATTCAAGCGATTAGTCAACTACACAACAAATCGAATCAAGGGTCAAATACACTTACACATAGCGCACCTATGGATATTTTCCAACAATTGCTTATTGATTTGGATTCTGAGGGTAAGCTATATTTATATTTATAAAGCAATTATTTATTTATATATGCTCATATATAATATTATTATTATTGGAAAAAAACTAGGTCGATATCTTTTTTTGAGTGCTATCGCCAATCAACTTCGATATCCTAATAGTCATACGCATTATTTCAGTTGTATATTATTATATTTATTTGCAGAGGGTAATCAAGAAGTAATCAAAGAACAAGTGACAAGGTATATTAAACTATCATTTTTAATTTTAACTCTTAATTTCAGGGAATTTTTACAAATAATCTATGTTACACTTGTTTAATTCTAGGGTACTTCTCGAAAGATTAATTGTCAATCGACCACATCCATGGGGACTTTTAATCACATTTATTGAATTGATCAAGAATCCTCGATATAATTTCTGGAGCCATTCGTTTACTAGGTGCGCAGCAGATATTGAGCGCTTATTTGATAGTGTCAGCCGGTAAATGTCTAACCATTTGTTAAAATACATTTCTATTTTTATTATTAATTGTTGAGGATTATCTAACACGGCAAATTTCGGTGTTTATATAAAAGGTCAATCAACCAAGTGTAGAGTCTGTAAACCTCTGTTCCTTTCCATCACTCATATTCATAATTTACATTCACATAATAATTTGTACAGCAGCATCAATTTATTTTTTTTTTCCTTTCTCTTTTTTTCTTTTCTTTACTTTTCTTTACTTTTCTTTACTTTTTCTTTTCAAATTATTTTACTTCTTGCTTAGAATATTCATTTAATTTGATTCAATGGAAAAATAAATTTTTGTATAGAACATTTTATTATTATCAATATATATATACTTTTTTTATTGAGTAAAAATATACTTTTTTTTACAAATTTTCATTTTTTATATCAGTTGTATAAATTACTAATATTTGTACAAATAAAATTTAACTACTTTAACTATTTTTTACTAGTATCTTTATAGGCAAATTTATAAGATTTGATTTAAAATATAATTATTTTTAAATATAAACTAACTTTTGAAAAGTATATAGTAATTGCGCAATATAGTAACACCTTTATAAATATACATACCTCAGAACTGGTTATATATATGCATTTAGAAAGGATATGCATAATAGACAATAAAAAAATAGATCTTACAATTAAGGGATTAGAAGAGGATCCAGAAATATATATATAGGGATCAGGTGATAAAAAAAATTTTTTACTATGAGCTGTACGCATTTTTTCAGGACCAGAATTATGATAATGTCAGTCGGTTACTATAATAGGAGGTCATCTAAAGTGGTGGCAAATCACGTGATTCAGTTTAATTTTAATTAGATTAATTTTTTATAAAAAAAAGATTAATAGAAACTTCAAAATCATAATATAAGTGTATTTTTATCTGCTTTACAAGTTTACTTAAGAAAAAAAAGTGGATTTTGAATATTGTTTTTGACTTTACATATGAATGAATGAAACTTTGCTGATCATATCTAAAAATGAATAATGAAATTGAAAAAGTCAAATAAATCAAAAACAGCATTCAAAACCCTACTCTGTGCTCTAAGTAAACTTGTAGAGCAGGCAAAAATGCATTTAGGATGTGTATTTAAAATGGTTGAATATATGGTAAAAGTTTTATTTTATGAAAACAATTTTTTTTGAAGTCACATGATTTGCCTCTGCTTTAGATGACCTCTATAATAGGAAATAAATGCTGACTGGCATTATTAAAAATTATCACAAAAAGGAAAGATTTTCATGATTTTTTTAGTTCAAAATACGCAAACTCAAACCTGACCCTTTTATATATATTTCTGGATCCTATTAGAAGCGATCCACAAGCATGGCATCCTTCATAATGACATTCAGGAGGAAAACATCTTAATTAATGATAATGATGACATCTATCTGATTGACTTTGAGATGGCAAGTCAGAAGGACACAAAAAAGAAGAGAAAACTTTTTGAGAAGAAACAGCTCAAATATCTAGCTTGCTAGATATAATATGTAAGAATTTATTATTACCAAATTCCTGTATTACGATTTCTTGTAACTCTAGTTTCTTTTCATTAATAAATATGTACTTTATAACAGCCATTTCATAAAGAATGCAGGGCGAATTTTCAAGTCACGTGGTTAGTTAGACTGTAGGATTAGTAGGATTGAATTAGCATAGAAAAAAAAATTGTCATATATCATGGGCTACATCCCGAACATTTGTATTTATTTTTCACATGTATTAATAAAAAAATTTTTCTTGGTATTTTTCTGAGATATTATATCAGGATCCCGCTTATTTATAAGATAAGTCACCCCCAGGCCTAAGGTAAAAATCATATATAAATAATTCTTTGCAGATCTTACTATAAAAGGAAATTTTATGTTACATTCAGTTGTTATGATTTTTTCCCTTTTAGCTAATTAACCAATAGAATTTAAGAAAAAAGTAAGATAAAAACTATTAGTAAAGGGCCAATTTTTTACGATGACCTTTATTATAAGTAAGCGGGTCCTATTATATCCCAGAAATTTTTTGACATTTTTCAGAATATTGAACAATTCCTTTTATATATAAATTTATTATTATTATTATTGATCATGTCAGTTAACGAAGCTAACACATCTGAGCTTAAATTATTGAGATAGTACATTAGCGAGCTTGAGACCAAGAATACTGAAATACTTAATCTTAGAAGAAAAATCTCAGAGTTTAATGCTAAGAGAGCTAAACTTAAACGTAGGATTGCTAAAGCTCTAAGATCAACTGAAGAAACGAATAAGTAGTGTGATGCTGAAAATGCCAAACTCAAGGCCAGAATCGAGAAATTAGAATCTGAGAATGTTGAATTTATAGATAGACTCACGAAAGTAGAATAGAACCAGTTGCTAATTGATAATTCTTCTAACAACACTTCATCTAACTTCAATTTAGTTGCAGCGCTTACAGTAAAGCAATACAAAAAACTATTGGTAGATATTTTATTACCCGAAAACAAGAAAATGGATGCTTTCTTGGATGAGATAAATAAGAAAAGGTTAGTAATGAGATTAGGTAAAGAAATCGGAAATGCTAAGCTGAAAGAAAGAAACTTTACTTTAACACCTTTAGCCAAGCCCAAGAATCTCTTCCAACACATCCTGAAGAGAAAATGCCTCAAAAGATCAAGTGTCCTACCTCTGATCTAGTGATCCATGATCAAAAGAGAGTTACTGGGGATAGCAGGTTGCATAAAAAAAAGGAATAGATGAACTCAAGCACGAATTATTCAGTCCCTTCCGAAATCTAATAGTCTGCCCTTTATAAACTATAATAATGTGACTGAAGTTTCTGAGACAGCCCGTCCTGAAAAAGTTACCTACAGTATTGATAAAGCCTTACAACATTTAACTCAGTTATGTGACAAAGCCATCGATGCTGAAGATAGGGCAAATCGAGCTAATCGGGAAGAAATTTTATGTTGGTACCTCTACTGAAAGGATTTTAGAGATCAGCTTGATGAGATTATCAAAAGCAATAGTAGTAAATTTGGTAAAAAGAAGACAAGAGGTAGCTTTATAACATCATCACAGAACAGCTTTCTATCTTTTGCAAGAAAAGATCGCAAGAATTAGGGCTAAAACTTAGGGATGTATCACTAGGGTGGGGGAAAGTTCAAGTTCCGGACTTTAAGACTGAATCTTTGGACTCAGCCTTAGCAGGACTGAGTCCTAATTTTTGGGATCTAATTAGGACGGTCCCAAACTAGTCTTTATAATAATAATAATATAAATTAAAGTTATGATCATTTAACAGCTAGTCAGTAATCATATGATTAATTTAATTATCAATGTAGATCAATCGCGTTTTAATAAATTCCTGTGTTCCATTAAATAAACCGAGTTTATTTTCTGTCTTTATTCCATTTTCTGTCTTTGTTTCATTTTTACCATTAACTTTTCCTTTCCAATAAAAATGTCAGATAATGATTTTGATGATGCTGATTATGACGAATATGAATCATCTTCAGATATTGAGTATAATCAAGAGTGGATTCATCCACCATAGTAGCTACAATTTTAGATCCACGTACTAAACTTACTTTGTTTGCAACAGGAGAAAAATCAACAAATGCAGTAAATGCAATAAAAAGCCACTTTGCCGAGTATAATGTATCACCACTTCTAACATCATTACCTAATACTAATCAAGAAACAGTAAGCAACCGTGAATATTTCCATCAGTTGAAGAGAAGACGGTTGGCTATTTCAGATTCACAAACAGAAAGATCAGTAAGGAGATCAAGGTCATCTGGAATTTATGAAGAACTTGATCGGTATCTTGCCTTACCATGTGATGATAATGTTGAACCTTTACTATGGTGGAAAACTCATTTTCGAGAATTTCCAGCATTGGGAGCAATGGCACGAGATTATTTGTCTATTCAAGCTACCAGTGTATCATGCGAACAAGCTTTCTCTGTAGCAAGTAATACTATAACCCGTACAAGGAATAATAGGATGCTTCCAGAAACAGCTCGCGCTTTATTGTGTTCAAAAAGCTGGCTTGAGAAAGGAATTGGAAGTAGCCGCAAAGGGAGAAATAATTTTGAAAAAATTAATAGTTTCGTTGTGTTGTGTGTGAAAAAAATTAATGTGGCTTAACGGTATTACAATAATAATAATATATGATTATGATCAACATTAGATCAGCTGATTACCGTATATCGCGGGTCACAGTACCCCGGGTATCTTGCAAATTTTGGGCATTTGGACCTGTACCCGGGGGTATATTATATGAGTGGGTACTATACATAGGAGGGTACAGGATTTTTAAAATACCCGGGGTACTTGCCATGTATAATATCCGAGTATTATGGATAATCACTATGATGTAATCTCTCGTTAAGAATTTCTAAATGTATCCTATTTCTCATATCTTGATACTTTTTCAAGATATTTTACACAAAATTACTTATCTAAATACCCCTATTCATACATAAAAATGTCTTTGTTTGATTTACGTGTCTTTATTTTACGCGTTTTTTTTTTCTTTCTGCTAAAAGTAAAATGGTAGTTATTGGCAACAAGAAAAATAAAAAAACACGCAATCGTTTACCACAAAAGAAACGAAGACAATGGAATGTAAGGGAAAAATTAATGATAGTGCATTATTATGAAAATAATAATAGAAATATACGTGGAACTGCCAAAAGATTTGATATTCAGCCCAAACAACTGCGTGATTGGAAAAATAAAAAAGGAACTTTGTTAACGACTGCTCCTCATGTGGCTAAACTTCATCCGGGTAAACCTGCCAGATATCCGAAATTAGAAGATGATTTATTTGCATGGATAAGTGAAAAAAGAGCCAATGGAAATGCCGTTACTCGAAAATTAATTACCAATAAAGCCATTTCCTTATCCAAAAGTCCAGAATTATTAGCAAATAATCCGGGTATTGCTGGGTTCAAATTTTCTAATAAGTGGCTTGAAGGATTTCTAGGAAGA